GACGCCTCCCCTTGGGGTCGGGGGGGCTGCTTGGCTGAGCGTGACGCTCGGTCCATCGCGGAGGCTGGCCGGTGGTCGGACCGGTGGCGCTTCTCGCGGGGGGCCGAGGATCGCGTTCGGCCGAGAGATGCCTCGCTCCGGGAGGAGCTGAACTTAGCCGCGGCGGCCGGTCTGGACGACCTGGATCGTGTCGGGACGGCTCGGCACCTGGAAGCCCTCGGCGAGGCGGATCGGAGTGGGGCTGTCCCGGAGATCGGGCCCGAAATCCTTGAGGGATCCTGGACCACCATTTCGGCCGGCCGCTGGATGCGACGGGAGGCGATGCCCATCGTGGAAGGGCGCGCTCTGGTCTGGGGGGTCCGACATGCGAGCCGGGGTTTAAGCGAGTTTGGCAAGCGGATTTTGTTTCTGACCGACGGGATGTCCGAGGTCCTGGCCCTTGAGAAGGGCCGATCGTCGAGCGTGGCCTTAAAGAGAGTGTGCAGGCAGTGGGCGGCGACGGTGTTTGCGGCCGATTTGTATCCTCGAGTTCGGTGGATTCGGTCTGAGTTGAATGTGGCCGACGAGCCTTCGCGTCGCTATCAGCCGAAGCCATGTGGGCTCAAACCTGGGCACTTTCGGCCTCCACCAGGTCTGTCCGAGCCGGATGACGACCGGCCTCCCGCGACCACTCGCAGGTGCTCCGACCCTGCCGTCTTCGGGGGATGTGGTTCTGGCGACCGGCAGCCTGGTGAGGCCAGGCGGGTCTGCGAAGCGGCGACCTGTGCAGGGCGAGCCGCTCACCCTGTCGCGAGCAGCGGCACTGTCCAAGGCTGGTCCGCGGCCGCGGCCGACCCAGAGGCAAGCCCGGGCGAAGGCATCGGCGAGACCCGCCAAGCCTCGGCCCGAGGCGCTGGCCACGAGGGGGGAGCGGGCCGCTGTCCGGCAAGCGAAGTTCCCCGAGGACAAGCGCGCGACAGATGGCGAGGGCCTCTCGCTGCTCGAGAGGGAGAGCGTGGGCGACCACAACCAGCGGGTCTACCAGTCGGTGCTCGTGGAGTTCAGGGCGTTCTCCAAGACCCTGGGCCTGCGCCTCAAGGCCGCTCAGGACTACGACGAGGCAGCCGTGGAGTGGGCCCACCACGCGTTCTTCGACGGCGGCGACGCCCAGGAGGGACAAGGCTCACGGCGGTGCTGCTGTACTACTACCCGCGGCTCCTGTCCGTCGCCGGACTGCCCCGGTTCAGCCGAGCGCTGAAGGGGTGGAGGCGACCGGTGCCGCCTCGGAGCCGGCTGCCGCTGCCATGGGAGGTCGCCTGCGCGGTGGCAAACAAGCTCGCGGCGAACCAGGACCTGCACGCTGCCCGCCTCATCATCGTGATGTTCGTGTTCTACCTGCGTCCCGTGGAGCTGATGTCGCTGACCGGGCGGCAAGTGGTGCCGCCGGTGCGGGCGGCGGGTCACGATGCGCGGTCGCTCGTGCTGTTCCCCATGGAGGAGGAGACGCCCAGCAAGACCGGCGCTTTCAACGAGAGCGTGCTGGGCGACCTGCCGTTCTACCGCTTCATCGGCGACGTGCTGAAGCTGCTCAAGGCCGGCGTCGACGACAAGGGTCTCGTGGCCCAGGTGCGGCACGTGCAGCTGGCAAAGGCGTTCCGCACGGCGGGCCAGCAGCTGGGCCTCGAGGGCCCACCAGGCCTGCACCAGCTGCGACACGGCGGAGCGCCCGCCGACCTGGCCAGCGGCCGCCGCGGCATCGCGGAGGTGAAGGCCCGCGGCCGCTGGGCCAGCGACAGCTCGGTGACGAGGTACGGCAAGGGAGGCCGCATCGCCGACCAGCTGGCCAAGCTGCCGCAGCCGTTCCTCGACCACGCCATCGCCTGCGCCAAGAAGATTGGCGACATCCTCTGCGAGCGCTGCCGGCCTTTGCCGCCCGTGCGGGCGGGGCCGTAGCGCTCGAGGTGTTCAGCGGCTCCGGCAATCTCAGCCGAGCCTGGCGACGTCGCCAGCATGTTTTGGGCTATGCCATTTTTGAGTGGGACATCCGCTGGGGAGATGAGTATGACCTCACTCGCCAGCGGGTGCAACGCCTGGTGCGAGGATGGGTCAACAACGGGCTGATTGCTGCCATCTGGCTGGGCACCCCTTGCCACAGCTGGAGCCGTGCACGGGACATCCGCCCAGGGCCGCCGCCCTTGCGGAGTGACCTGCACGTGATGGGGTTGCCCGACCTAGCGCCTCGTGACGCTGAAAAGGTCAGGGTCGGCAACGCCCTGATGAAGTTCTCAGCCTCGCTGTTTATGCTGTGCCAAGCCGTGCGCGTGCCGGAAGCAATCGAGAACCCTCACATGTCTAGAATTTGGCTGACGCCTCAATTCATTAGATTGCAAAGAAAATGTCGCTCTGTCGTGTTGGATTTCTGCCAGTTCGGCCAGTCTTGCCGAAAGCGCACTCGCATTATATACGATCACGTAGACCTCCAGCCGTTGCATTGCCTCTGTCGAGGCCCCCGCGGGATCTGTTCCCGCACGGGCCGCCCGCATGATCAGTTGCAAGGAAAAAGTGCTGACGGCGTTTTTCGCACGCTCCTGGCCGAGGCTTATCCAGCTGATTTGCGCACTAACATCGTCCGATGCTTCCAGCTCGCGCTTGCCGAAAAGAAGGTTCAGCGAATACAGAGAATTTGGTGCGGCTGAAGCCAGTAGCGTTTTTGGAAGAAGAGTTGTTCTGTGCAAAAAAAGAGTTGGTGCCCGCTTAGCTTGATGTTAAGCGTTTCCTCGAGCTCGAGTCTGTGTGATCTGTGATTGCAAAGTCGGAAGACTTGTCGACACCAGAGATAGCATCGTTTCGCACTCCTGGCGGAAAATGGGCTGGGCGTTTCATTTGTATAAGCTTGCTGATTAATGATATGCAAAAGACCGAAACACGCCGTCAACACCGATCTGTAGTTTTTCCTGGCCAACCGTCTGCCCCACCGCCGCCCTCTCCTTTAAAAATTGCAGAACAACATGGTTCAGGTGCCCGCTTAGCTTGATGTTAAGCGTTTCCTCGAGCTCGAGTCTGTGTGATCTGTGATTGCAAAGTCGGAAGACTTGTCGACACCAGAGATAGCATCGCTTCGCATTCCTGGCGGAAAACTGGCTGGGCGTTTCATTTATATATATATATATATATATATATAATATATATATATATATATATATACATACATACATTATAAAGTATACAGAGAGTGCTCGATCCTCGGACCTTAATCCTCCTCCTCCTCCTCCTCCTCCTCCTCCTCCTCCGTAGCCATTTTGGCTCTGGCCTTTCCTTAGGCCCCCTGCTCCTGGACCCTGTCCCTCGGCGTACCTTGCGACCCCATTCCTGCGGGGCAACGTGGCGGGCGTAAGGGACGGGGGGAGCGGGGCTTCTGGCTCCAGGGACACGGCACGGGATGGCGCGGAGTGCGCGCCAAAGCGGCGTTTTGCAGAGGAGCGCAAGGCAGCAAAAGAGTGGGCGCGGCGTTCTGCGGACCGTGCGGTCCTGAAGCTCTCGCAGGAGGTACGGCGCCTCCGCGGGCTTGCGTCCGTGGCGAACAAGGCGCTTGACGCGGTCGCAGGGTGCAGCGAGGCGGCCCAGCGCTTGCGGACGGTTTTGCTTGTGCTGCAGGCCAAGCTGGAGGGCCGCGCGCCCACATGGCTGGAGGTGCTGCGGCGGAATGTCGCCATGCACGCCGACGCCAGCGACATTGACGTCTCCGCTGCGGGTGCTTCCGCACTGCGCAAGGCCAAGCACAGGCAACGGCTCGAGGCTCGGATCAAGCAGGAGACGGAGACGCCCGGGGTCCTATCCGCCGCTGCAGGGCCTTTTGTGCCCTCCACGTACATTGAGTACGACGTATACGACGGCGACTTTTCCGTTCACGCCCCCTTGGGACGGTCGACAGGGCTCCTGGACGACATTGTGGTCGTTCCTTCGGATCTCGCCGCGGGGCTCTGGGAAGCCTTCGGGCCGTTGCCGCAGGAGCAGGTCGTGGTGGCCGATGGCTCCGAGGAGCTGCGGGAGCAGCCCGTGCCGGAATTCAGTCCAGCGCCATCGGGTCAGGTGTTGGCCCATTCGGGTAGTGATTCTATTTCTATCATTCCAGAGCACATGGGTCAGACGGAGGCACATGCTGGCTCTGATGCTGTCGCTTCTACTGCAAAGTTCGATCCCGACTAGAGTTCAGGGGTGGAGAAGACCATCGAGGAGGATTGGTATCCCGAGGACACGGAGGACCTTGAGCCGCTCTCCGTGGTGGAGTTGCGCCTGGCCAACCTCGTGATCGAGTCGGGGATGCGTGCGAAGGAAATCCTCGACTCGCTGCACGCTGGACGGTGCCCTATCTGCTTGTCCTCGGACCTCCACCTTCGGAGCGCACCGAGGGGCGGCGACGCGTGCGAGTTGTGCCACGACAGCATCCAGCACCGCGACAAGATGGTCCGTTGCGAAAGCTGCCAGAGCGCCGTTCACAGGGCGTGTTTGCAAGAGCAGTTGGACCGTTAGTCCCCTGGGGAGTGCTCGCGGCGCACGGCGAGCTCCTGGTGCTCGCGGCTGTTGCGCTGCTCTTCTTCCTCTTGGTTCGCAGGGTTCGGGGCTCTCCTTGAAAACCCCCCGCCTTTCGGCGGTGCCTCGGCCCAGTACTCACCGCTGGCGCGCCGAGGGAGGGGGCGGCGGCCGTCGGAGGGACACTGCGTCCGCATGTTCCTCCTCCTCCTCCTCCTCCTCCTCCTCCTCCTCCTCCTCCTCCTCCTCCTCCTCCTCCTCCTCCTCCTCCTCCTCCTCCTCCTCCTCCTACGACGACCACGACCACGACGACGACGACCACGACGACGACGACGACCACGACGACGACGACCACGACCACGACGACGACGACGACGACGACGACGACGACGACCACGACGACGACGACGACGACGACGACGACGACGACGACGACGACGACGACGACGACGACGACGACGACGACGACGACGACCCCCTGGGGCGAGAAGGCCGAGCTCGCCGCCATGCACGCATGCCTGGCCGCGTCCGCGGGCGCGCCCGCGGACGGCCCGCCGCCAGCACCCGCGCCCGCGGAGCCGCCCGCCACAGCAGCGAGGCTGACGGCGACGGTGGCGATCGAGGGTCGGGGCGTGCAGGCGACCCCTCGAGGAACCGATGATGGGCCTGTCTTCCACCACCACCACCACCATAAGTTGGAGGGGGAGGGGATCCTCCTCCTCCTCCTCCTCCTCCTCCTCCTCCTCCTCTCGTTCCTCCTCCTCCTCCTCCTCCTCCTCCTCCTCCTCCTCCTCCTCCTCCTCTTCGTCCTCCTCTTCCTCGTCCTCCTTCCCCCCTCCAACTTATTATTGTGGTGGTGGTGGCAAACAGGACCATCAACAGATCATGGCATGGGCACGAGCTGTCAGAAGTCCGCGCGGGTTTCTCAGACTGGCGCTGGAGGCCGCGCCGCCCATGGCGGGCTCCGCGCCAGCGCCGAGCCAAGAAATCAGCGCGGACCTCCGAAAATTCCTGCTTGTGCCATGACATGTTCCTCGATTTGTCGCCTTGACATCCTGGTCAGAAGGCACTGGGCGTTACGAAGGGCACTCGCCCCCGCGGCGGACGCTGCTCGAGAGACTGGCCAGGGACGACGGCGACGTCGACGTTGGCGAGGATGGCGAGGGCGACCTCAACGACCACCACGATCACGACCTCGGCAGCGTGCATCGACGACCGCGACCACGACGACGACACCGGCGACGACAAGAAGCTATCCCCTCTCATTCATTCTTTTCGCTGTGGAGGCCTCCACAGGCCCCTCGAGGGCCGAGGGAACTCAGCACCCCCTCCCTCCCCGAGACCTTCCTGAGCCCCGAGCCCCGTCCGAAGCCCCTTCGAGCCCCGAAGCCCCTGACCCCCTCCGAGCCCCCCCGAGGCCCCTCCTGAGGCCTCCTCGCGGGCCGAGGGCAAGACTTTCCTTCGGGCGCCCCCCCCCACGCCCCAGAGAGCCGACGTACTGACTTTTTTTCAACAGGAGCCCCCCTGGAAGTCCAGCGGCCGGATGATCGCCCTGGGCCGTCTTCTGATGGTCCCGGTGCTCCGTGAGGGCCCCAGGAGGCCGAAGACAGCGAGCAACGCTCCGTGCTGAGTTGCCCAACCTGCTGTAGGCCTGGAGTCCCCCCACAGGGATAGGGAGCCCACAAACGACGTGCGCGCACGACCTCGTGCGTGAACACGGCGCCCCGATCCGCCAGACCGGCCGCGTCATACGAACGTTCGCGCAATGCGTACTCTCGAGACCAACGTGGATTCATGTACCCAGAGATCCGATGTCGTGATTTTTTCAATGCGGAATCCCCGGAAGTCTCGATCCATTCCCTGGGCCCAGTTTCTGAGCCTGAGTCGTTTTTTCACGCTCCCGGGCCTGGCGAGGGCCCCTCGAGGCCGAAAAATACGACAAACCTCCGTCTTGTTTTTTTTGTCACTGCGTTGGATCTCTGGGTACGTGTACGTCCTCCCCTCGCCCCCGAAAGGAGCCCCAGAGCCGGGCGAAGCCGGCCGAGAACGCCACGCCGACGCCCACCGGGGCGCCCGCGGCGCGGGTGTCGAGGGCGCGGAGCGCCCCGCTGCTGACGGGGGCCCCGGGCAGCGCCGAGCCGCGGACAGAGGCCTGGGCGCCCCGCAGCGGGCGCCCCGCTGCAGAGGGAGGGGGGGAGAGGGGGGAGAGGGGCAGGGGGGCAGAGGGGTGGTGGGTTCTCTTTTGCGTGCTGGCGTGCCCATGGGCCCACCAAAGAGAGCTCAAAGAGCCTTTTGTGGTCTGCACGAAATGTTCTTAAGTGGAGCAGTTCTGGCTGGGACTGTCTTGTTTTCACGCATCGTGCTTGTGCTCTAGGAACATTGTTGTTGTTCTTAGAACATGTTTGGGTTCTGAGAACATGTCGTGGTAGGTCTATAGGAATGCCGGGACGGTCGGTCCCTGCTCAAGGGGGAGAGGGGCAGGGGGAAGAGGGGGGGTGTTTTTTTTTTTGAGGGGGAGGGGAAGCGTCGAAGTTTTTTTTTAAGAGAAGGGGGAGGGGTGCAGGGGGGAGAGACTTCGATGGGGGAGCGACAGGGGCGGGGGGGGGCGGCTCAGAGGGGAAGGAGCATCGACCTGCGTCGCCGATAGATCGGCGGCAGGCCCCCGATGGCGAAACCGCACGCTCCTGGGCGGAGTTGCGGGCCGCGGAGGGGGGGAGGCGGACGAGGACAGGGACGAGGAGGGAGGAGGGGAGAAGGAGGGGGGAGGGGGAGAGGGAGGAAGTCGTCGTGGACAACGGCGCCTGGACCAGAGCGGTGGCGCAAGAAGCCGGACGAGGCGTGGCATAGCGCGTCGAAGTGCACATTCGCATGCATGTGGGGCGGAACTCACAGCCACTGTGAATGGCTTGCCGGTGCGTTAATAGACCCAGGCGATTGTTCTAGAAGAAGCCTAATCCGTAAGGGCTTCGCCCCCTGCCGCCGGCCCCCTCTCTCGGAGAATGGGCCATGGAAGAGCTAAGTCATGAGGCTTTGGCGCTGTCGCGCAGCAGTATCGGAACTTCATGCGAGGCCGATTCGCAATCGGCAAAACCAACTGATCACAAGAGGGGTTACCACACAGGGCGATTGGTAAGACGTGTATGGTTTACGAGCTTGGTTACCACACCTTGGGATTAAAGGGCCGAGGGAGTACTCGCAGTTTGGGTTACCACGCCTTGCGATGGATGTCCGTGAGGGGTGGCACCGAATTTCAGAAATGTGGCAAATCCCATGTGTTTTTGGACCCTGACCCCGCGGATCTGCGTGAGGGGTGGCACCGAATTTCAGAAATGTGGCAAATCCCCTGTGTTTTTGGACCCTGACCCCGCGGATCTGCGTGAGGGGTGGCACCGAATTTCAGAAATGTGGCAAATCCGATGTGTTTTTGGACCCTGACCCCGCGGATCTGCGTGAGGGGTTGCACCGAATTTCAGAAATGTGGCAAATCCCATGTGTTTTTGGACCCTGACCCCGCGGATCTGCGTGAGGGGTGGCACCGAATTTCAGAAATGTTGCAAATCCCCTGTGTTTTTGGACCCTGACCCCGCGGATGTGCGTGAGGGGTGGCGCCGAATTTCAGAAATGTGGCAAATCCCATGTGTTTTTGGACCCTGACCCCGCGGATCTGCGTGAGGGGTGGCACCGAATTTCAGAAATGTCGCAAATCCGATGTGTTTTTGGACCCTGACCCCGCGGATCTGCGTGAGGGGTGGCACCGAATTTCAAAAATGTGGCAAATCCTCTGTGTTTTTGGACCCTGACCCCGCGGATCTGCGTGAGGGGTGGCACCGAATTTCAGAAATGTGGCAAATCCCTTGTGTTTTTGGACCCTGACCCCGCGGATCTGCGTGAGGGGTGGCACCGAATTTCAGAAATGTGGCAAATCCCCTGTGTTTTTGGACCCTGACCCCGCGGATCTGCGTGAGGGGTGTCGATTTCGAGCCCCCCCAGCAATTCAGACAACGCGCCCAGGGGGTGCTAAAAAATCCTGTTTGGGCCTCCCCCCCCCTCGCGCGGTCAATCAACTAGTTACAGTAACCAGCAAGAAGCAGAACTGTAACACTGGAAACTACAAGCTACAACTGGTACTGGAAACTGCGAACCCGCGCCTACAGCCTGGTGGCCCCACAAGGGGGCCGGCGGATATGTCATGTCTAGCATGTGCGTCAAACTGGCCATCACCACTTAGCTGCAAGCGTGGAGACAGAAACAGAAGAGAGGGGAGTCAGAGAAGGAGGGAATGAGGAGGAGCAGCAGCAGGAGGCGAGGGAGCGAGGAGGAGGAGAAGGAGGAGGGCCGATCCAGCATTGACCTAGCGTCGGCTGGGTCGAGGTCGGTCCGCTCAAGAATGCCCACCGCGCAGCGGCCCCCCCCCCGCGGGGCTGCCGGGGGAGACCCTCCGAGCGGCACTCTCCGCCGGCCCCGCGCGGGGGAGGCCGCCAGAGGGAGCCCTCCCCAGGGAGCCGGCAGGCAGGGCCCCCCCGCGCAAGCGAAGTCCCACCGGCCACGCCCCCTGGCCGTGGGGAGGGCGCAGCCGCGGGCTGGGCGCCAGGAGGCCCGCCCGCGGTGAGCAGATGCCCGCGATGGGCGGCCCAGCTGGGTGGGCGTCCCGACAGAAGGCCGCCTTATGAACGCGGAAGGAACGAAGGACAGAAGAAAGGAGGAGGAGGAGGAGGGGGACCAGTGCAAACCAAACATTGATCGACGATGTCAAACCCTACTTTCAAGCTCCCTCTTCATAGTCACCTACGAAAACGTATTTTCACTGCTGGAAGTGTCCCGTTGGAAGACAACCGCTTGCATGTCTTAAACCGTACCAAAACACCGCTCCTGGGATTCCGACGCCGCGAATCAACATTAGTTTTGCGTCTTGACGATTCTAAATCGTGCCAGAAAACTAGTCCTGGGACTTTAACACCCCGAGTCCACGTGACTGTTCTACCATGACATGTCTACATTGTGCCAAAACACAGTTTCTGGGACGCGTGCCATAGGAATCCTTCCGATGTGTTGTAACATATTAAAACGAATTGCGCGCGGCTCTCAAACGAGAGCCACATGTTGATAAAGAACCGCCCTCCAACGAAAGTGCGCGGCGCTGAGGCGAGAGCCACATGTTGAAAGCCGCCCGCCTTACATCCGCGAATTTTTTCCAACTGTTTAAGACGAGCGCGCGGGACGCCAAGGCGAGAGCCACAGTTTGACGAGACACCGGCTTCCATCCGTGAAAACCTTCCAAAAAGTTGTTAGACGAATGTGCGCGGCGCCAATCGCCACGCGTTGGAAACCGCCCGCCCTCCATCCGTGAAACGTTCGCAAACGTTTAAGACGAATGTGCGTGGCGACCAGGCGAAGACCACATGCTGAAAGCCGCCCGCCCTCCATCTGGGAAATTATTGGCGTCTTGTTTGGCGAATGCGCGCGGCGCCAAGACGAAAGTCACATTTTGACAAGGAACCGCCGCCCACCCGTGAAATTCTTACAAACCTGCAAGACGAACGTGCGCTGTGCTAGGGCGAAAGCTACATTTTGACGAGGAACCAACGCCCACCTGTGAAATGTTCACTTGCAAGACGAACGCGCGCTGCGCTAGGGCGAGAGCCACGTTTCGAAAACGGCCCCCCCCCCTCCATCTTTGAAGTTGCCGCAGACTTTTGAGACGAATGTGCGCGGCGCCAAGGCGGGAGCCGCCTTTTGAGAACCGCCCGCCTTCCACCCGTGCAACAGCTGCATTCGGCTACGGTCAAAGGTTTTAAAGTGTGAGGAACTCCCTGGCGAAACACCCGGCCCACCCTTCCGACACGCTTCGGGGCGCGACAGGGAGGAGTCAGTTCATTATCAGGAAAAGCGTAGGGGAGGAGGGGCCAGGAGGGGACGCCGCAAACAGGATCTCTCACCCCGCACCCCCCCGATCCACCCCTCATGCACCTTCCCCCCCTGCCCCCTCTCCCGAGCGTGGGCTCCTTCGATGAGGGAGAAGGCCCGCGACAGTGGGCGCACGCTAGAGTGCCTCAACAGCACAGGCCCCCACGCTTTCAGGCTGAGTTTGACCCGCTCCCCCCCCTTCCATTCGCGCATCGCCCCCCCCGCTCCCCAGCAGAGCGCCCCCCACCTTCAATCCTTCGCAAGGCGTTCCCCTCCGGATTTCCGCGCCGCCCCCCGGGCAGGGGGTACCTCGGACCGCAGAGCGCCCCCCCCCCGCCCTCCGCGGAGCGCCCCCCCCCTCGCTCGCAGGCCCCCGCGCCGCCGGTGCTCCTCGGGCGCGAGGGCAGCAGCGGTGCGCCCGACGCGAGGGCCAGGAGCGCGTCCTACGCCTCGATGCTGGGCGGCCCGGGCCCTGCCGACGACGACGACGACGACGACGACGACGACGACGACGACGACGGCGACGACGACGACGGCGACGGCGACGGCGACGACGACGACGACGACGGCGGCGGCGGCGACGGCGACGACGACGACGACGACGACGACGACGACGACGACGACGACGACGACGGCGGCGGCGGCGGCGGCGGCGGCGGCGGCGGCGGAGACAGCAACGACGACGACGACATCGACGACGACATCGACGACGACGTTGACGACGACGACGACGACGACGACGACGACGACGACGACGACGACGACGACGACCACAACGACGACGGCGGCGACGATGACGACGACGACGACGACAACGATGGCGGCGGCGACGGGGGTGGCTGCTGTCTGCGGTGGCGCCAGCGACGGCGACCGCGACAGCGACGGCGACGGCTACTCATCATGAAGGCTTCCTGGAGGATTTTCGGGCACCCCGGGCCCATTCTCGGGAGCAGAGAACAGGGAAAGGAGAAAGAGGGGAAAGGGAGGAGGAGGGGGAGAGGGGCGCTTTCGTCGTGAAGGAGCGCGCAAGGTGAGGTGAAGGGGGGAGGAGGGTGGGGGGGGGTAGGAGGAGGGGAACCAGAGCTGGGGAGGGAACGGGGTGGCCTGTGCCCACCCATACCTCCCGCAGCCTTAGCATCCATCCCTCCATCCATCCCCCCCTGCCCAGACAGGACTCCTTTCCTGCATGTCCCTGATTCCCACCTTCTCTTCTCAACCCACTCATTCATTTCCCCCCGTCCCCCATTCCCCACCCCCCACCGCCTCCTCTTCCCCCCCCCCCCTTCCCAAAACCTCCTTCCCGTCCTTCCCCTCCCCCACCCTCCCCACCCCCCTTTATTCCTTCTGCTCCCCCGAGGCGCTGGGCACCCCGACCAGCGCCGAGCGACCTCCGAGCGAGCAGCCTGGCCCAGTCGGGGCCCGCACGCGTTTCAAGCAGGGCCGCCGCAGACGTGCCTTCGTCGCCGAGGGTGAGGCGGGTGGACCTCCCACGGCGGGCACCGCGGGAGAGCCCGGCGGAAGCTGGCGGGAATGGAGCTGGCCGAGCCAGGGGCGGAAGCCAGCGGACGCGGAAGCTGACCACGGCAGGGTGAGCAAGGGCCAGTGCCGCATGGGCTCCCAACCCCGGGGAGGGAGCACGTTCCCGCAGAGACTGGGCCATGCTTTGGAGAGGCGAGTTCCCATGTGCGCGCAGAGTCTGACCACCATCTCTGGTGACCTCTGGGCCATCTTGGAAGGATGGCGCTCTTACGGAGGGCCCAGCAGGTGGCAGCGGCATCGTCGCCGTCACGAGCAAGAGCAGTGAGCTGGAGACGCGCCTGGCGACGGCGCGGAACACGAGAAGCCGCGAGCGGTGCGGCTCCTCGGGCGCGCGGCCACCGTCCCACAAGGACTCGCTGGACTCGGGCCTCTCCAGTGCTGTGTACCAGGCGTTGCCGCGCTGAAGACAACGGGCAAGAGGAGTCGACGAGGACGAGGAAGATACAGTCGGGAATTGTTGCTCAGCGTGTCGCTCCGCGGGTTCTGGCCCGCTTCGGAGCGACACGCTATCCACTTCGCGGTCCCCAGGCGTCCACGTGCCGACCTTTTCCCAGCTTCCCGCCCCACGGAGCGGAGCGACGCGCTATCCGCTCGCTGGGCATAGCGTGTCGCCAGGGCCGCCGCCGCGACACGCTATGCAATTGTCCCTGATCGTTGGGGGAGATGCTGGGCGCCGGGATCAGGATGATGACGATGATGACGATGGCGATGAGGATGGCAATGAGTAAGAGGAGGGGGTGCGAGTGAAGATAAGGAGAATGAGGATGACGGCGAGATTCAGGGCGGAGGTGCGAATAAAGACAGTGAGGGTGGTGGTTCTGTGGGCCACCAAATGACAGAGCATCGGAAGCCGCATACTTCTGCGGTCCGTGCGGCCCCAAACACGCCAACGCTCTGCGAAAGTGAGAGTGTCCGAGAAGCTTCCTTCCTCGATCCACTAGGGGCGAGGGCAAAAGTTATCAGGAGGAGGATCTGCGCCAGGCCCTGCCGTGCTGGAGGATGACCGGGACGACCGCCTCTGGGGACCACAGCGTGGTGGACGTCCTCGGCCCTCCACTGACGCGTGCGGCAACCAAGCAGGGACGCCTGCAGAGAATCATCAACCTGCGCCTCGGGTCGACGACGACGACGACGATGGTGGCGGCGGCGGCGGCGGAGACAGCGACGACGACGACGACGACGACGACGACGACCACAACGACAACAATGACGACACTGACGACGACGACGACGACGACGACGACGACGACGACGACGACGACGACGACGACGACGACGACGACGACGACGGCGGCGGCGGCGGCGGCGGCGGCGGCGGCGGCGGCGGCGGCGGCGGCGGCGACGACGACGACGACGATAACGACGACGACGATGACGACGACGACGACGACGACGACGAGCCGATGCTCCAGAGGTTTCTGGACGCCTGTGCATGTTCTCGTCGCCACGGCGGGGCACAGCTCGAAAAGCTGGCCGCAAGGAACCTCGGGAGTAGCGTCCCCTTGCTTCTCCCCCCCTTTTCCCCTCCCCTGTTCGCTCTCCCTCTCCCTCCCTCGTTCCCCCTTCCTCCCCCTCCCACCTTTCCGTCGTACTCACGGCCAGCTTGGCAAGCGGTACTTCTCCACGATTTGGGATCCAGTTGCCTCTAGGCTGCCCCCCCTTCGCCCCATCAGGTCCAGCACTATGTCCCTGAACGGCGTGAGAGGCTCTGGCAACACGTCCGACAGCGACGGCGCCTGGGACAAGCAGTGCGTCATGCATCCCGAGGGCGCTGCCCGGCTCTTGTGGGATACGGTCGGCGCCCTGGTGTGTTTCTTCGACCTCATCGTGTTGCCGCTGCAGTTCTTCGACGTGATGTGGTTGGACGACATAAGCGCCGTCATGGATTGGCTGACCGCCATCTTCTGGACTGTTGATATGTTCCTTTCTTGTATCACTGGCGTCTACATCAACGGCATCTTGCGCATGCAACGCAGACAGATCATGTGTCGCTATGCGACAACCTGGATGCCATTGGACCTGCTGGTGGTTGGGATCGAGTGGGGGACCTTGCGATCCGACGACGACGACAACGCAGCATCGATGGCCGGTGTGGTACGTGGCTTCAAGTTCCTGCGTTTCTTCCGATTCTTGCGGTTGGTCAAGGTCCGCGTGATCATCAGGAATCTGGAGCGGCGTTTCAATTCCGAGGCCCTGCTTCTTAGTCTCAAGGTCTTGAGGCACATCGCCAGCGTCATGGTTCTCAACCACGTGCTGGGCTGCATCTGGTACGCGCTCGGAAACTCGAGCGACGACGGCTGGGTCGCCGAGTACGTCGAGGGCCGCAGCGTCTTGTACAGGTAGCCAGAATGTCAGAAGCAGGACGCAGGACTGTCAGAAGTTGAGGAGGTTGGGGAGGGTGAGGAGGAGCGAGAAAGAAGGGTGGAAACAGGACTGCCAACAGAAGAGATAAAGGAGGAGGAGGAGCAGGAGGAGGAAGAGGAGGAGGAGGACGAGGAGGAGAAGCAGGAGGAGAAGGAGGACCCGTGTAAGCCCAAGAGTCATCAACGATGTTGGAATAAACCCTCCCTCCAAGCTCCCTTTTTCATAGGCCCCTGCAACGTTTCATGTTCACAGAACGAACTGTTTGAAGACCTTGAAACACGCCAAACCATTGCCCTCGGGATTCTAACGTCACGGATCGGCCTGTTTGTTGCGTCTTGACGATCCGCTATCGTGCCAGAACGCCGTTCTTGGGACTTCAACGCAGCGGTTTGACGTAACTGTTGCACCCCCATAAACATAAATCCTTCCAAAACACCGTTGCAGGTACGCTCATGGCGGGAATCCGTGAAGCGAATGTGCGTGGCGCTAGGGCGAGAGCCACATTTCGAACAGGAACCGCCCTCAATCCGTGAAGCTCTTGCAACCCTTTACAACGCATGCGCAGAGCGCTAAGGCGAGAGCCATATTTTGAAAACGGGTCGCCTTGAATCCGTGAAGCTCTTGCAAAGCTCTACAACGAATGTGCGCGGCGCTCAGGCGAGAGCCACATTTTGAAAAAGGGTCGCCTGCAATCCGCGAAGCTCTTGCACTTTTTCAGCGAATGTGCGCGGCGCTAAGGCGAGAACCACATTTTGGAAACGGGTCGCCTTCAACCCGAGAAACTCTTGCAATGTGGTACACGAATGTGCGCGGCGCTAAGGCGAGAGCTACATTTTGAAAACGGCCCGCCCTCCATCTGTGAAACTGTTGCTAACGTATAAGCTTCAGGGTCATAAATGATGAGGAGGTCCCAGGCGAAACGCCAGGCCCGCCCTAAAAACTGACCCCGGTGTGCGACAGGGAGGAACTCGTTATAAGAAAAGCAGGAGGGAGAGATTCGTTATCACCCTCGGCATTAACATGTCGCCATTCGCCGGCGTGCTGGTGGAGGAGGAGCAGGTCCTCACGATCTTCTATGTGGTTTTCCCAACCATCCTGCGGTGTTGGGACCTCGTTTTGGAGAAAGCGCTCCGCGTCACCTCCCGACCTCCTCCCCCTCCTCCCTCCTTCCTCCCCCTCCTTGCGTCTGCCCTCCGCATGTCTGTGTTTCGGCACACCCCTCACACGCTTCGCGGCGCCATAGGGAGCTCCACCGAAGGCGTCAGTGGGAGGGCTTGCATGGCACCATCGCCCAATCTCGACAGACCCCTCACACGTTTCGTGGCCCCATAGGAAACTCGACCTAAGGCCCCAGAGGGAGGGTTCGCAAGGCACCACCGCCCCATGTTGACACACCCCTCACGCGTTTCGTGGCCCCATAGCGGGCCCCACCGCAGGCCCCAATGGGAGGGTTCGCATGGCATCATCGCCACATTTCGGCACACACCCCACGCGCTTCGTGGCCCAAGTGGGAGCTCCACCGAAGGCACCAGTGGCAGCGGTCGCATGGCACCACCGCCCAATTTCGGCACACCCCTCACGCGTTTCGTGACCCCATAGGGAACTCGACCGCAGGCCCCAGTGGGAGTGCTCGCATAGCACAACCGCCCCATTTCGGCACACCCCTCGCACGCTTCGTGGCCCCATAGGGGCCCACCGCCGCAGGCCCCAGTGGGAGAGCTCGCATGGCACCCCGGCCCCATTTCGGCACACCCCTCGCACGCTTCGTGGCCCCAGCAGGCGTATTCAGCTTCGCCTGGGCCCCACCCAGTACAGCTTTTCGTTGCCCCATCGGGAGATCCACCGAAGGCCCCACTGGCTGCGCTCGCATGCGGTTCCCCCACCCAGCACCGCGTTCCGTGGCTCCATAGGGAGCTCCACCGAAGGCGCCAATGGCTGCGTTCGCAGGCGGTTCCCCAACCCAGTACAGCGCTTCGTGGCCCCATAGGGGGCTCCACCGAAGGCCCCAGTGGCTACGCTCGCGCGCGATTCCCCCACCCAGTACAACGCTTCGTGGCCCCATAGGGAGCTCCACCGCAGGCCCCAGTGGGAGTGCTCGCATGCAGTTCCCCCACCCAGTACAAGGGTTCGTGGCCCCGTAGAGAGCTCCACCGACGGCTGCGTTGGCGGCCCCGCCCCATCTCGGCACACATTTCGCGTGCGTCATGGCCCCATGAGACAATCCCCCGAAGGCGACACCCCGCAACGACGGTACTCACAACTGCATATGGTTGGGTCCTTCGCCAGGATGATTTCCCAACCCTTCTGTGTGTTGGGTCCTCGTCTTGAATTCGCAGCGCCCCGCATCTCCCTCTATCCTCTCCTCCTCGTCCCCCTTCCGTCCTTCCCTCTTTATCTTCGTCCGTGTCATTATGGCACACCACTCACACGTCCCGTGGCCACATAGCGAGCTCCACCGAAGGCTCCAGTGGCAGGGTTCGCATGCGTACTCGGGTCCACTTCTGCACACCCCTCACACGTCTCGTGGCCCCATAGAGAGCTCCGCCGAAGGCTGCAGTGGCAGGGTTCGCATGCATACTCGGGTCCATTTTGGCACACCTCTTACACGCCTCGTGGCCCTATGGGGAGCGCCACCGAAGGCTGCAGGGGCAATGTTCGCATGCGTGTTCGGGTCCACTTCGGCACACCCCTCACGCGTCTGGTGGCCCCATAGGGAGCTCCGCCGAAGGCTCCAGCGGCAGGGTTCGCATGCGTACTCGGGTCCACTTCTGCACACCCCTCACCGGAGGCTCCAGTGGCAGAGTTTGCGTGCGTACTCGGGTCCATTTTGGCACACCCCTCATACACTTCGTGGCCCCATAGGAAGCTCCACCGAAAGCTCTGGTGGCAGGGCTCGCATGCGCACTGTGGTTCCATGTCGGCACACCCCTCAGACGCTTCGTGGCCCCATAGCGGGCCCCACCGAAGGCTCCAGCGGCAGGGTTCGCATGCGTACTTGGGTCCATTTCTGCACACCCCTCACAGGAGGCTCCAGTGGTAAGGTGTGCATGCGTGCTCGGGTTCATCTCGGCAGACACCTCACACGCTTCGTGGCCCCATAAGGAACTCCACCCAGGGCGCGAGTGACAGGGTTCGTATGCGAAGCGTTCGTGGACACTGAAGATCCCTCGGTATACTCGTGTGCGGTCAGCGTTCCCATTCATACGCGCCACTCGTTTCAATGGGTTGGTTTCTACGCCAGGGGAAGTTTACAAGGAGCATGTGTCTCCCTTCGCCGGCTTGCTGGTGGAGGGGAGGCGGTCTTCTTGGTCTTCTGTATGTCTCCTTTGGTACAGGTACATGACATCGATTCACTGGTCCATCTCGCAGTTCCACGGCGCGATGGAGGTGGCGCCCCAGACGGACAACGAGCGGACCTTTGCGGTCGTGGTGGTGATCTTTGCCCTCATCGTCTTCTCCTGGTTCCTGAGCAGCATGACCAACGCCATGCTCCAGCTGCAGCAGGTCCACGAGGCGCCCACCAAGCTGAACCGGCAGCTCCTCCAGTTTCTCCAGGAGCGCCGCGTCTCGGGCATGCTCGCCTCCCGCGTGAAGAAGTTCGTCGACCTGCGCAGCGGCTCGCCGTTTGTGCGCGAGTGCGACGTCAAGCTCCTGGAGATTATGCCGGCCAACCTGCTCATGGACATCCACGAGGAGGTTTACGCTGCGGTGGTGAGCGTGCACCGGCTCTTCTCCGACATGTACACGGTGTTCCCAGGGACCGTGCGGCAGCTGAGCCACGAGGCCATGCTGGAGAAGGTCGAGCAGCCGGGCAACATCATATTCAGCACGGGCGACGCCTGCGGCAGGATGCTCTTCGTGGAGCAGGGCAAGCTCTCTTACATGCACGGTGCCCGCAATGCTGGTATGCTTCGGTCGAACCCTACGCGTGCCTTCCGGAGGAGCATCCTCTCTGGAACTGCGCAGCATTCCGTGACCAGCGGGTGGCGCAAGTTGAGGAGCGGAGTCGCCGAGGTGGCTTCCGACTCTGGGGAGGAACTCATCGGGAAGGCCCGGTGGATGAGCGAAGCCGCTATCTGGACCACATGGGAGAATTGCGGCGAGCTGACGTCGAGCGGGCACAGCTGGAGAACTAAAACACGGCACAACATGTGAAGCTCCGGAGTTCCGCGCGGTCTGATTGGGTCGGCGCTGGATCCCCCCTTCCCACACGGAGGCGCCGCCCCTGGCGCGCTGCGCCCGCCGGGGAAGGGGTGTGTGGAGAGGGGCCCAGCGCCGACCAAGATGTCCGTGCGGACCTCCGGAAGTTGACGTCCGGGCCGTTCTTTGGTTGTCTGACAGCCTCCTCGTTGCCGTCAGCGCTGCTGAGTTCGTCCGCGTCGTCAGCCTCTACAGGCAGTCGCTGGCGCGCAGAAGGGGGGGGGGAGTGAGGGCGTTGGGGGGGGGGCCTGCTACGAAGGCAGGGGGGGGGGTTCTCACACGACCTCTGCCCTCCGACAGGCTTCCTCGGAAACCTCGGGGCCCGTCCGAGAAGCCCCCTCTGCCTTGTTGGACGGCCGCCCCCCTCGCGCCACCCACTTCTGCACGCGCCACCAAGGCAGGCGTACCACTCCTGCTCGCTCTACGCGCGCGACTTCGTGGAGCAGCTCAACGCGCAGGAAGCGCCATCCGACCTCTGGGCGAGCAGCCCTTGAGCTGCAGCGCGGCCACCTGCGCTGCGCCGCCCCCGCCCACCCTGAAAGCCATATGTTGTCATTTCGAGGCGCTTCGCTCCAGGATTGCATGTTTCTTCCTCCCCCATTGTTTCCTGCCCCCTTCTCCGCCTCCGCCTCGTCGTCAGTTTGTCCTGCGCTGCCTCTTCCATCGGTGGCGGCTCTATCGCTCGCCTCTGTGCACCAGAGTACCTCGTGCCCGCCTGCGTCGGCCACAAGTGCCAAAGCGCCCGACGCCCCGATACGTTTGGAAGAATCTGCGCACACGACGGAGCGTTCAGTGCCAGATCGCTTATGCGCACATGACGCAGCGTTCAGTGCCAGAGCGCCTATGCGCACATGACGCAGCGTTCAGTGCCAGAGCGCTTGGCGTTTTTCTCGATGCCTGGGTGCCTAGCGCCCTGGACGACGAGGCTTTGCATATGACAAGGCGTGCTACAGCACTTGCCGTAGACGAAGACCGACTGCCCTTATGGCATCTTTGTGAAAATGGTCTCCGTTACTGAATCCTCATGCTGTTGTGGACTGCCCAAAGACTGGTGCACATCATGGGGTCGGCCTCCTCTCCGCACCCGGGCTTGCACTTGTCATTCGGCGACTCGGGGCAAACGATGCGGCGGGGAGGGGAGGAGGAGGAAGAGGAGGAGGAGGAGGAGAAGGAGGAGAAGGAGGAGGACCTGCAACAGCGTAGCCAGTGCATTCGACAGGAGCACCGCCCTCACGACGAAGGGGGCAAGGGAGGGGGAGGAGGGACGGAGCAGGGGACGGGCAGAAGGGGAAGGCGGATGAGGGGACGGAGAGGAGAGGGGAGGGAGTGCCTCCCTCCCTCCTCCACCATCCTCCATCCCTCACAATCGCCCTCGTTCGTCCTTCTCCTCCTCCTCCTCCTCCCTCTCCTCCTCCTCCTCCTTCTCCTCCTCATCCTCCTCCTCCTCCTACTACTACTACTACTACTACTACTACTACTACTACTACTACTACTACTACTACTACTACTACTACTACTACTACTACTACTACTACTACTACTACTACTACTACTACTACTACTACTACTACTACTACTACTACTACTACTACTACTACTACTAACTACTACTACTACTACTACTACTACTACTACTACTACTACTACTACTACTACTACTACTACTACTACTACTACTACTACTACTACTACTACTACTCCGACTCCTTTCCTTACCCCCTCTGGCCTGCCGATAGCGGTTCCATCCGGGCCCTCCCATCCTAACTGTAAAGAATCAACACAAAGTCGTCGTTTCTCTCTCAGCATGGCCTGTCTTGACGTCGACGATGCGAAATGCGCACCAGGAACAGGACGCGGCGAACATCGCGCGCGGCCGTCAATCCGGGCCCTCCCATCCGAACCGTAAAAAAATAATACAAAATCGTAGTTGTTTTTCTCAACATGGCCTTTCTCGTCGTCGACGATGCGAAATGCGCACCAGGAATAGGACGCGGCGAACATCGCGCGCGGCCGTCAATCCGGGCCCTCCCATCCAAACTTTGAAAAATCAATACAAAGTCGTTTTTTCTCTCAGCATGGCCTGTCTTGACGTCGACGATGCGAAATGCGTGGCAGGACCGGGACGCGGCGCACATCGCGCGCGGACGTCTGGGGCAACCCCAAGCGGGAGGGGCCATCCTACCAGTCAAAAAAAAACAAAGTCGACCTGTCTCTTCCCAACATGGTTTTTCTTGTCGTCGGCGTTGCGAAAAGCGTGGCAAGAATGGGGCGCGGCGCAGTCTCGCGCCACAGGATGAAATGTCGCTCTCGCCTTGGCGCCGCGTTGGGCGCCCGGGGCCTCCCAGGGTCTCGTGGATTCTCTTGGGGCCTCCTGAGGCTTCCTGGGGCATCCAGCTCGCCAATTCGTCACAAGACGAAATGTCGCTCTCGCCTTGGCGCCGCTCGCATGTTTTCTGAAAGTTGCGCTCCCGCACAGGCGCAGCGCACATGTTTCGTTCGCCAATTCGTCGGGCGCCCGGGGCCTCCCAGGGCCTCCTGGAACATCCTGGGGCATGATAGTGCCTCGTGGGGCCAGCCCACGGCCTCGTGGATTCTTCTGGGGCCTCCTGAGGCTTCATCGGGCCTCCAACTCGCCAATTCGTCGGGCTTCTCGTGGCCTCCCCAGGGCCTCGTGGATCCTCCTGGGGTCTCCTGAGGCCTCCTGGGGCTTCCTAGGATCCCCCGTGGCTTCCTGACACTTCCTACGGTTTCCTGAAGCCTCATGGGACCTCCTAGGGCCTCCTGGGTTCGTTGGGGTTTCCTGCAACCTTCTGGGGCCTCCTGAGGCCTCCTGGGGCCTCCTGAGGCTTCCTGGGGCCTCCTGGGACATCCTCGGCTCGTGCTAAAATGCCAGCGCAGCCTTTGAGACGCGCCAGGAATTTCTCATCGATGACCGCCATCGCGGCTGCATCAGCTGTGCCAAACCACCTTGCCGATCTGATTCGGCCCCCAGTTGCGTCAGCACTGTTTCTTATGTTGTAGGAGGGCGGGTTGGAATGGGCATGCCATGCTTGACTCGCTCGAGCTGGCTTACTTGATTCCTTCCCCTCCTCCTTCTCCTCCTCCTCCTCCTCCGCCTCCTCTCCTCCTCTCGTCCTCCTTCTCCTCCTCCTCCTCCTCCTCCTCCTCCTCTCCTCTCCTCCCCCTCCTCCTCCCCTCCCCCTCCCCCTCCCCCTCCCCTCCCCCTCCTCCTCCTCCTCCTCCTCCTCCTCCTCCTCCTCCTCCTCCTCCTCCTCCTCCTCCTCCTCCTCCTCCAACTCTCCCCACCTCTCCCCACCTCTCCCCACCTCTCCCCACCTTTCCCTCCCCCTGCTCCCTCCTCGTTCCTCGCCTCGCGCCCCCCCCCTTTCCCTGCCCCCCCCTCCCCCGCGTCCCTGCCGCCGTCGTGTCGCAGCCACCGCGGCGCGGCGAGCCGGCGCGGCGCGTTGCCGCGCGGCGCGCCCGTTTCGCGCGGGGCGACATGGCAGACCTCCACCTCCAGCCGATGCCCAGCCTCCGCCTGCAGGGCCTCCTGCCACTCGCCGCCCGCGGCGCCGCCAGGCGTCGTGGCCCGACGGCTGGCCAACCGACGACCCGAACGAGGACGAGGACGAGGAAGGCGGCGGCGACGAAGATGATGGGAGGAGCGGGGGGAGCAGGGAGCAAAGGGAGGAGGAGGCGGAGGAGGAGGAGGGGAAGGCTGGGCGAGGGACGAGCGACGAGGGTCGAGGGACGACGGGCGAGAAGCGCAGGGAGGAGGGACGAGGGACGAGGGAGGAGGAGGAGGAGGAGGAGGAGAAGGAGGAGGAGGAGGAGGAGGCGGAGGAAAAGGAGGAGGAGGAGGGGTCGGAGGAGGAGGAGGACGCCGCTGCCGATGCCGACGACGGCGACGTTGACGACGGCGACGGCGACGGCGCTGATGTCGACCACGGCTGCGCCAGTGTGGCTGGCGACGGCGGCGGCGAC